TTTGTCTGTTCTAATAAAAGATTGCTATATAATACTCGCGAAACAACTCAAGTAGCCTATCTGCCCTGCATCTTGACTCGGAACAACCTTCACGATACTTCACAAAAGCAGATACATCATCCACAATTCGAAAACCGTTAATCAACTTGCGATCACTACCCAACATTGAGAGGAAAGAAAATTCATTGAATGCACATAGCAAGCAAGAAAGAGTTGGGTTTGTGCATTTGCCCATTGGAATACCTACGATCTGCCGGAGAATCTTCCCAGAGGCAAATACCATAGTGTTCTTCAACTCAAAATGTATATACGAATGAATGAACTAAAAGTTGACCACCACCCACCCAGTTTCCCCTTTCTCTTTAGTGAGTCTCACAACCTTTCCGAGTGTGCAAATCAAAACACCGATGAAACCTTCGCTTTCCCAAAAGACAGTGACCCATTCCAATGCACTAATAATGGACCGATGCGGGAGGTTTGAGAACATCTCTTTCACATCGAATGATCCCCCCACTAGACGATCTCCATCATGAAGTTGCTGATTGACCGACAGAATAACTCGCACAAAATCCTGTGTGCAACGAAGAGTGAAATGAGAACGAGAGGGAAGCTTCCACAATAGCAAGTTAACAGCGCGTGCCATGCGCTTACTGCACAACGTGCTACCTTCAGGAAAAGAAGGGTAAATGGGTCGACCACGAGTAACGTCCTTATGTTTGGGTACGCAATAGGCATGCCCAAGTCAACCAGACCCATTCCACCAGCCAACCTTGGCAAAACCGCCATCTTCAAATTGTCTCCGCCATTCTTCTACCACCACAGACTCAGATTTGGAGGAACGAACGAAAGAACGATTGTCGAGGAATAGTTTCTTCATCCCCAAGTCGTACGTTACCGGACAACACACATATGTATCGCCACGATTCGTCAATATTATGATCTATCGGCAAACATACCAGTTTACTTAGTTTTTTCCTTTGATCAACCACTTCATCCACCCCACTACACACAAATCCATTGGAGAAACCATCCCGAGTTAGCGAGACGTTGGAAAGTTCAAGGGTCGGAAGAGATGAGTGAGAATTGAAAGCAGCCACAATCTGTTTCCTCATAATAGATAAGGGATCCCTTGACGATGGGAGAAGAATATTTTTGGAATTAGACATGCAGGGATTAGAAGAGTTCAAACGAAAAGCAACGTGACCATCGACCCTCAGGAATGCCGACTCCACTTCCACACATTCAGAAATAAGTTCCTTCTGCTGTGCTGCCCGCCGATGATTATGAATCAGATCACCAACCGTACGGTTCCTACACCAAACTATCCTCAATCGTAGAACCAGCATGTGCTTCCATGCCGTATCAATAGCCAGCTTTTCAACCAGACCAGCACGCATTGCCCTTATCCCCGCCATGCACAACCTTTCGTCATAGGTAACTCGAACAACTAGTCTTTGTCGAACCGAAATACCGAAGCGATATTGAATAATATTGGACAACACAAACGGTAGTCGGCACCTCGTACGTTTCTCCTGAAAGGATCTGACAGATGAGAAAGCATAAACCAGTTGATGTAATTCCCATGTATGTAACTCAACCCGAGAAGGAGATGGCTCAGCAAACGAGCAAGATGAGGTTTGAAAGAAAAATATTTTTGACAATACGGAACAAAAGATTTGAAGAACAAAATGACCCCATTCTTCAACCATCCACGGGATGATCTCAACGAATCACAACCGAATATGCACTGCACAATAGACGAACCATAACTACGTGTGACAACCTTCCAGTTATCAAGTAACAATGATCCTCCTTGGCAAACGACTGCAATATGACTAACTTCATTGATACGTGACCCCCATGGTCGCAGGTCCTGTGGCCTCGTCCATGGCCGAGGAGGCTGGCCGCTACCCTGCGCCCTAGGTCGCGCGACCGAGAAAGTTTGTGGCCGCGCCACGCGCAGGCGGAGCTGCGCGCCCGAAAACGGGGCGCGCACATCACGTGCGCATGGCGTCCCCCTCCAGAATCAGCTTAAAAAAAAAAAAAAGTGAAATTTTGGGGGGCTCACAATTGTCGTTTTCGGATGTGTTAAAAAAAAAAATGATTTTTTTTTTTTTTTTTTTGCTTTGTGTGTGTGTCTATCTCGCTGTCTCTGTCTCTCTCTCTCTCTCTCACACACACACACACACACACACACATACACACACACACACACACACACACACACACACACACACACACACACACACA